CTTAGAATATATTTGGTAAAAAATGTCGACTAAAATATCAGATCCAGACGATGAGATCATATCTGGAAAAGAATCTCAATTGGCACAATGTCTACGATCTCTGTGCACGTTCGTAGGAGAAGAAACTGAAGAATCCCTACTTGAATCAGGTGACGTGTTAATGGAAATGGGAAAACTGTATCTCACGAAAGCAAAAGGGACTGGCGGCATGCTTCAAAAGTTAAGTTTCATTCGATCTAGCGCATTGCTGCACGGTGCAAAATCGCGATTTCAACAGAAAAAGGATCACAAACGTTGTCTTGATTTAGATAAATTACTTCGAGAATTTTCAGTTATACTCTTCAAAGAGATCGGCGTAGAAAACCCATCTCTTTATCTAAATGAGGTTTCGGATCACCTTTCAAAAGATTTATGGTACATCAGAAGAGAAATAAATTCAAAACTAGAAAACGTGACAAGAATTGAGACAAAGTTTGCAGGTGATTCATCATTTGACAGTGATGTGCCTTTGGAAGAAGTTGAGATATTGAACGAAATGTGTTGTTTGATGGAAAATGGCACCTTGGAATCAACTTCAGATTCGATATACGGCTGTGAGTTGTACCCGGGAGAATCACAAAAGATCGATGACATGTCACGTATTATGAAAGAGAGCACTGCCAAATTTACAAACTTAATGGTTGTTATTGCTAAATGGTGTGAAGAAATACTAGGTCCCGTTCCATGCAAATATGCTCTATTAGGTCTTGGTTCACTTCCTAGAGAAGAAGTGACACTGTTTTCTGATTTCGAACATGTCATCGCCCTCGAAAATCAAGCAAAAAATAATGACAAGTTCGACGAAATAAAGGAGTACTTCCGTTGGTACGCTGTTGTTTTTCAAATCATCATTATAGGTATGGGAGAAACATTCATCAGAAGCGTGGGAGTGAACAGTATCAACAATCTTTATTCTTCAGATAAGTCAGAGAACTGGTATTTTGATAGTTTTACACCTTGCGGTATAGCTTTCGACGGCATGGTTCCGCATTCATGCAACAATCCACTTGGAAGACCCCAAACTTCGCAGCTAAAAAAGAGCAAAGTTGAACTGATACAGACTTCAAACGACATGGCAAAATATTTATCATCAGCCGAACATTTAAAAAACGGGTACTACCTGGCGGATATCTTGGTTCGCACTTGTTTGGTACATGGAAACAAAGAAGTACACGATGAATTTTTGAACGAATCAAGAAAGATTCTTGAATTGGAATATTTTAATGTTACCAGAAAACAAGTGGAAGAAATTAAAAGTAATGCAAATCCTTTTGTTCCCGGGCAGGTGATATTTCATTCAACATCTTCAATTGATTACAAGAGAGCTTTATATAGACCGGTTACTGCTCTAATAGCATACCTAGCTAGAATTTCGGGCATCACCGTGTGCTCAAGCTTCGATATTATTTCCGAATTACTCAAGAAAGGTACTATTACAGCCGGCGTGGCGCATTTTCTCAACTACGCTGTTGCCGTAGCGTGCGAAATTCGGATGAAAGCTTACGCAGTCATTGGACACCAGAGACACGGCCTCACTGTCAAAGATGTGATTGAATTGGTGGGAGAGAGAAGCGCGGTTGACTGTTTCTTACATCTGGGAATACTGCGTCGATTGGCAATTGGGCAGGTCCTGCATTGGAAAGAAGGCATGGCTCCTATATTATTGGGGAGCTGAATTTGATATATATGAAAGCATTCACACTTTACACTTTTGGACATTTCACGCAGGCTTTTCACTGGGCTCGGCGAGGTCTTGAGCACGGTGAAATAAATAGAGAGTTTTATGGTTCGCTTGAAGATTCCAACCACTTTTCGTTTTGTCTGATTCAGGGATATTGTCTCATGGAACTAGGAACGCTCGTTGAAAATAATTTCACCATAAAAACTACATTTTATGAAAGTGCAGCGAAAAAATTCATTGAGTACCGTGGCATGAAAAATTGTCCGAAGCATCTTGCGAGTATGTGTTATTATAACCAAAGCAACGCACTGATTAAATTGGGCAAATATGATCAAATTTCAACATTGCTTCTGGAATGGAAAGAGTTGTTAATGTCGAACGAAAGTTTGGCAATTAAAGATTATCATCTTGGTATGATCAGTGAAATAGAGGTGCAACTCAATACTTTAATCAAGAACGTAAAATCGAATATGCAGCTTATTACCAAAGTGAAAAAACCAAGTGAAGTCGACTTTTGTTCTTGCATATATTTATTGGTTCAAGAAATGAAAGCGAGTGTTACAAAGAACGAATTTGAAAAAGCTAAAACAACTGGAGCCTATATTGTCAATTACATCAATGAAAGACCCAGTGAAGGCAGAAAATATTCACATACTATATTCAAACTCTTGACACATGTTTGCAAAATACAGTTTACAAATGATTGGTTTGAAGACATTCTTGAAACTATCAAACTCTGTAGAAGTATTGCGTGTCTTGGTGCAGATGTTGCCGGTGACTTCGATCTCGAAAGAATAGAAATAAAGGCGTTGTTTAATTTGGAAAAACATCAGGAATGCTTCCTAAAAATTAATTCTTTAGAATCAGAAAAGACAAAAGACAGTTTGGAATACCTTTCTCTTTTTTGTCAAGCAGAGATGGAATCGGTGCTGCATAAAAAAATTCCGCTTCTTCAAAAGACATGGCAAGCCTGCAAGCAAAGAGACACTGGTATATCTGCTGATGGTGTAATATGGTCTCGTACAATGGGTGGTCTACTTTACTGCTCCCAGGTAGCAATTCAAGCTTCTAAGCTTTTCAGCTCTGTTTGCTATTTTTACACGCAAACACCGGCTCACATCAAGACGGCTACAAAGAGTCTCAACCATCGAACATATACATTTTTATTGAGAATTTTATATTTTATTGAAAGCTGCATACAAGATCGAAATTATCTTAAAAGTCAGCCGTATCTCACTACAAGTTTGGAAGTTTTTCACGATAATCTTCTACACCCATTGTACTTTCTGTTCTATCAAAAGTTACGTAGATTCGAATGCGTGAAGAACGATGATAAAGTAGTGATTCTACTAAATATTCTAAAAAAAAGTTTTGTGAGCAAGTATTCACACAACAGCCAAAGACAAGGCTTGTTACTTTATAACCACGCGGTATCACTCTTTTCGAAATTGAATCTTTCATCTGCCGCACAAATGTTTTGGACTGTTTTAAACCAAAGTTACCAGAGAAACAATACAGTGGTTCGATTGGCAACGGAGCTACTTCTAGTAATTGTTTTGAACTCAAACACCCAAACTGATGACGTAGCTCTAATTACTGACCGGTTCTTCTATTACAGACGTCGGTAAATGTGATATATATGATGAAACATTGACCGTTGAAGGCAAAGAGTTTCAATATTCGATTATAATCCGTTTACAACATCTCAGTGATAACTGTCTTCAAGAAAGAATAAAATGCTGATCATTGATACAAAACCTCTAAAACTGAATTTCGATGACACATCCTCCATTTAGGCCCATTCCAATAACGACACAGTTACCTACTTCAATAATCAGAATGGGTTCTATTTTAGATCTAATACTGACTTGCTGTTACCTAATGTGTGATCCGAAAACTTGTGTGTTGTACAGGACCCATGATTTAGAATGGTTGGTTGGTCTTATTGAAAACAAACGTATTTGTTTATATTTTTGAATTTGCTGTTAAAACTGAACTAATTATGTGTAAATCATATCAGACATTGTTCGTCGTTACAAATTTGAGAATGGCGAATGCCAAATTACAGTTCTGAACTAAATGTCTTCTATTTGTGATTAAGCATTCCAGCGTTGTATTCTCATGAAACATTCAAATATGCCGTGCGTCGAGCAAGGCGAATATTTGATTACTGGCTTACTGCTTATGGGTATACACTTATTTGACATCTTTCATATGTGTATACACACCCCAGTTTTCTCTGCGTTACTTCTCTCATTAAAAAATTGTCTGTTCGAATTTTTTCTCATTATATAATCAAGTGCTTGTGATTTTAATTATAAGTAATCAAATTTTAATTTACCACAAAAATTGGTTTCAGATGTAACCTTTTAACCATTTAGATGACTGGAACAGATGGGCCTAAACAGTAGCAGAAATTCCCATGTCTGGCAAAGAACAAAATCAGATTTTGTATACGACTACAAGATTTCTTCTGAGTAATTATTATGGATTACATTGTAGAACCGTGCGGAAAGTGGTAACATATTTAATTGATTGTGTCATTACATTTCCTTCAATTAACGGCTGGACCATGTCGCCATTCGTATAGCCTCTCTTTTCTGCCAATCATCTGCGCAATGACAGCAAAAATATTTGTGAAGCAAGGTGTCAATTAAATATTCACATCGCGTTGTCAATTTCACTATTACCTTAAAAGTGATATTTTTTCGAGACCGAACACAAGCGTTTTGGGAAGTTTACATTTCATATTGACAAGCATGGCGTTGTGTCGTTATCTGCATGTTGCAGTTATTTATAACAATATGTGACGCTAGTATGCACGCCTCGATTCTTTCAAAACTAACAGGTAAAATGTACGGAAATGAAATTTGGAAATTTATATTTCATTACCCAAACTAAGTAATATAGAATATTGTGCATTCCAAAAAGTAACTCAAATATCATTCAAAACTAGGTACAAACGTTAAAAAAAAAACTGTGCTAAAATGCTACGTAATGTCGAAAGCACTTTTTCCTCAGTTTCGGCTGTTCTATTTTTACTAATCTCATTTCATCAAAGGTAAGTTAAATTAAAGATAGAGAAAAATTGTAAATTAGGTTTCGGAACGTGCGTGATTATTAATACGGATTAAAAAATTAAGTACAGTTTCTCAGGAAATATTGGTATTAATCTAGACATTTTTAATTTATATATATATTAATTGTCGTGACGAAACACAGAAAAAGTTTGAGATCGTACCGAAAATGACGATCGAAATAGTTGCTTTAGGCAATGCTATAGCTTGTATTTAAACCAGCTTCAAATTTAACTATAACTCATATTATCAAGTATAAAACTTGAGCTTTGTCGTACGCATAAAATGGCGTTTGGGTGGAAAAGTTTGTTACTGCTTTTCGCCTTGACTATACTGGCGAAGTCTTCGCATGGAATATCATGTGAGTATGCTTTTTCTATATTGTTTCATGGTAAATAAAATAGAAATTCTTCCAAATAATTTCTTTTTTAAGCAACTTCGTTATTTTTTATATAAAAAAATTGTATACGTTTTAAAATTTTACATAGATAAAGTTAAGAATGAAAAATTGAAATATTCCAAATAAAATCATTTTATTCTAAATAGTGTGCTAATTATTCGCATTAATTTACAGATACTTTCATTCGAAACAGTGAATTTAACATTAAATGAGAACTTGTAACATTACGTTTCATATAAGAAATGTGATCAACGAAATAAACAAACTACCAGTACGATAGAATATCTTTCCCACGAGGCCAGCATAAAAAAAAATATTTAGAAAACTACAATTCAGTTTCAAGCAGTAAAAATTTTATTAGTTTAAAAAAAACTCAACTATTCTTATTATAAGCGTTGAAATTAGAGGGAAATATTTGAAAAATATGAGTTTGGCTTATACGATTGACAAACAGGATGCAATTTGCGAAACAATTAAACTAAAATGTAGCAAAATAAACAGCTTACGAGATACACTGTTAAATGCTTTTCGTTTGTGTGACCTCTTATTTTTTCGTCTGCGATGCTTTATAACCCACTTAAGTTTTTTCTGCTTTCAAATGACAATTAAACCAGAACACTTTTTCAGTATTGCAATTAATTTTGCATACACATTCTGGAATCCTTATTAATTACGAATTGAATCTCGCGTTCGAAGATTCTGTTCTAGCGGTCGTGGTTTTTCTATATTAAACTATTCTATTCTTCTCTAAAGGCAATTTAATTAAAAAAAATTTGTTAATTTTTGTTCCAATGCTTTTATAACTTGTTTTTCAGCCTATTGTGACCCAAATCTAAACTGCCTTGTAAACGAATGCGTTAGTGCAACTTGTCCTATTGTACCTGGCGCAAGATGCATTTCATTTTGCAATGGTTGCATTGCACGTTTCTTCTTCAACGGAAAAGACGTCACCAAGAATTGTAAAATTGATAAACGGTGTGGAAGTTCAGAAGAAAGCTTATCACGAAGTAAACGATTCGCTTGTGGTAGGCCATGTAGTCGCTACGGTAGTTGCCCTTCGGGTCTGATATGCTGTCCGTCTGGTGGATGTGGACTGATGTGTAGAAAACCACCAATAGGTAAACATATGCAGAACTTTTGTTGTAAGCGACATATTATATTGTTTGTAATGAAACAGGAATCGAAAAAATTACAAATTTGAAATAATACTCGATATCTTTGATATCAATTTCATTACTCAATTCAGATATTATAGCAATTCAAGCTGTATCACAGTTTAGTATGGCGCGTTTAAAGTCTATACGGCCTCAAGTGGTTTGTCTTGGCGCTTTTAATTTTATTAACACGAGAGAATGAACAAAATATATTGTTCACGAATTAACTAACATATTATGTTCATTTTGTCAGTTACTGATCCAAAGTGTCCTGCACGGAGAGGAAAGCGCAGAAGAAAGAGATCTATCTGTGAGGTGGACTGTTACTCAAACAAAGACTGCCAATTCTATGAAATGTGCTGCAATGGTCCTCTATGTGGGACATCTTGCCATCCTCGCTTGCCTTATTATGGTTACAAACGTTAATATATATCATAATATAAAAAGAACAAATATATATTACGTGTTTTATTTGACAGATGTCGTATATCAGAGTACTTTATGTTACTTCGGCTGTGTTTTCAGCAATATATTCAAGAGAAGTAGAATACATGGCCACGGCTCCACCCATACTTATATGAACTCTTTCACCAGACTCTGATTATGGCAATAAACATAATTTTTCTAGAAGAAAACCGATCAACTTAATTTCAAGATCTCTTTAAACCCCAAAAATAGTGTCATTCTCTACAATATACGCCATATGCGTCTGCTCAGATATAGCTCTAGAGCAGGGGTGGGCTGGCACGCGAGCCCATCTATTAGGCACGCGAGCGAGGCCTCGGAAACGAGATCATTCTCCTTCAGATAAAAACTTTCAAGACTTTGAATTGTATGATGAAACTCGGTGTTTGTTCATTCATTATCGTTACAATCCGTTATTTATTTAAACACTTTTTGTTCTTCTATGACATATGGATAAAAAGAAATATATTTTGAGTGTTTGTCGAGAAGAGCGCATTCATTTGGCTACATTCTTACGTAATATAATTCGTCTGTGCCATTCTTTTTCTTCATTTCTGCTTGATTTATAAACTTGTACAACTAATGATGGTTAGAGTTACTTGCCTACTTACTGTCATAAATTGACCTCGAAAGAAATATAAGCTATTAGGGAAGGGAATACAAGAGCAAAGTGTTGAAAACGAACTATTGCCTGATTTGGATGCCATTCCCGAAATTTTTCCGTGTCCAAAAACTTTGCAACTGCATTACTCTCCATGTTCTCATCTACACATGCTTCTGAATCTCTGTTTTCAGTTATGAACTTTTTTAAGTTTCGTACTAGGAGGAGCCTGAGGGATAAAACCAGTAATTTGTGTATTTCTCCAAAAGTAAAAACAAAAAACAAAATGTAAACCCAATTTAAAATCTCTATCAGCGGTAATGTAGCAGTAGAAATCTCACCGATATAGAATATGGAAAGTAATGAAATCTAATTGTCGGACTGATATTTTTCCGATTAGAGAATCTGTCTATACATGCATAAAAGGTTTATTATTGTGTGGTTTGCTTTAAATTAGCAAAGCATTGTTTTTAATTTTGGTCGGCACGCGGAAGAATTTTGTCTATGTTGGCACGCGAGCCGAAAAAGGTTACCCACCCTGCTCTTTAGTTTGCCGGCAAGAGGATTTGGAAACGTAATTATTGATTATAGCTTTCCAATACTCGTTATTAGATGTAGTGTTTAGTCTACGGAAAAATAAAATTAAAGAGCATTAAAAAGCAACCAAACAATATGGCTGTTTAGTTTGTAACAAACGTAATTGTCGTACTATTTCTGTTTCTTGGGAATATCAGAAATTGAAAAACATATTTTTCTTCGTCTACTCTATCTTTACGACAGCTATTCTTTCTGCCTTGTGGAAATGTTATTATGAGTAAACTAGGTCCGTCCGTCATCCACGAGTCAGATGGGCTGTCAACTAACTATAAATCGGAGCACAAACGTATTTATAGTGTTATTTTGATTGGTAGATTTCAAACCAGCATGAACAAACGATACATGCACAAGCAAGTAAAAACAACTCTTCTGAATAAACCCTATCTGGTAATGAAACTAGGGCGAACGGGGAATTTCCTCGTAAAGGAAAGCATATGCTAACGAAATTACATTGAAATCAATTTTGTGCCTGGTATTGTGGCCCCTCCAACTGCTCTGTGGCTGCCTTGGGGGGCCATGAGCCCACGGGTGGGAACCACTGTACTAGAAGATCCGTATAACTTCAACAGTGATCATTGCCCGTCCATCTATCTTGCTGCGAACCACTGACCCGCGGGGCAAAAGCGACTTGTGATTTTCCGACGATCTGTTTAGTCACGTAGTATTACTGGAAACGTACTAATATTTAGTAATCCATTTTTCAGTGAAAGTTGCGGAAATATCAGCTATTTATTCCTCAAGATCAATTCAAAGAGATTACAAACTAATCGAGGAAGGCAGTAACCTTTCGATAACGTAATAAATATAACACAGATACGTGCAGGCAAAAACATGGTAAAACTATGACCCGCATATATATATATATATATGTATATATATATATTTTCACTCACAAAGTCGGCCACTATTTCCATAAGATTACTCGGTCAATGATTACTCATTTAATACTAAAAATATTTCAACATCATTTTAAAGTGATATTTTGTATTTCATGTGAAAAATCTCTTTTGTCCCAACAGTGAACGTAAAATTCGATATTCCGCAGTCGTAAATGCAGTATGGCAGTAAAATAGATTTTTATATCCACGTAAAAAAAAATTAGGCAAGATATTACGCAAGTGCATTAGGTACAAAAACGAGCTAATAAGCTCAAATATGTAATAAAACTTGAGTGTTGCCCTAAATTTTGAATCTTTGAAATAAGAGAACAATTTATTGCGCCACGTTTGTCTGCCTCCATCAGGCTTGCCCTTCGGTGTTTTTACTGCAAACTATAAATTGAGTACGGTACCGATGTGCGAACATCTTATCCGTCTATTTGAGTACTGCTCCTTTGTTATCCACCATTGATTACGCCAATAATTGTGAAGCGGTGACCAAGAGATCCAACATCTGTTGATTTCCACAGCCCTTAAGCGACCCTAATTTCAGCATTCAAAATAGCCGTCAGAATTGGCAACCCAAACATTGAATCGAAATGGGAAAGCACTGTCATTGATGTAATGCCCTCACAAGTTAAGCTGCTGTTTCCAGAAGTTGTTTAATTTTGGTGCACAACTGAAAATGTTTAGGTAATCATAGATTATTGCGAAATATTGGTGAGAATTTCGAAATTATCAGCCTGTAAGTTACTTAACGCTGTTTTACCACGAAGTGAAAATATACCCGTATTTTGGTAACTACCCAAATCGATTTTAACAGTAAACAGAATTTGCAAAGTCATGATCACCACGTAGTGAAAACAGGAAACGAAAATATACGACATCGTGATACACGATTTTTGAAGGCAAGTTTTATTCGCTAATTATTTTGGATTCAAAAAAGACGGGAAAAGTCTGTAACTCATTAATTAGAACATAAGTGAAATTACAATCGTGTGGAGGGTAATCTATTTCAGACATTTATGAATAAAACTAAAAAATTCATAACAATAAATTATATTTGATCTGCCGAGATTTAATGACGTATTGTCACGAGCAAATGTTTTTACCTGGGAGTTTCGAGAAGAACAAGTCACGAACTATTAGTTGAAAAATTCCCGTAGTTTGTACGTAGTGTTTTGTTGAACCTAGCATACAACAATATTTATAAAACACGTCATCTCACTATTGTGATGTAATAAATGATGACTCAAGATCGATTGTTGCAATCTATCCATAGGTCTACTCTAATGAAATCAAAAATTGATGACATCATGACACATAATCCCCACAGTCAGTGGTGGGATTCAAATTTTTTGTCAGGCTGTTCCATCACAAAAGTCATATTTTTCGGCCGGTCCTGTTACATGTTTTTTTAGTAATGCTAACCGGTTCGCTGATCTCATAGAATTCCGTGAGACGGTTCTATAGAACCGGTGCGAACCGGCTGAATCTCACCACAGCCCACAGTACCTACCGATAGTTGATAACATAACCTATACAGATATACCTCGCCAACATTCATGACTAGATAGCATAGCAGGTATTAGCTTTATCTGAACTACCGTATAATATGAACTTGATAGAGGGTTACTTTGTGTTATTTCAAGATATATTATATGTGAATTTATATTAAAAACAATCTCACTTGATCAGCATTTGGTCATTAAAGCCTCAGTAGAAACTTTTTTTCATCTTTCAAAAATACTGCCAAACGCAGGTGAGATGACTGATGTTTGTTTAGTTTTCAAACCGAAAGCCACTTGTCGATATCTGTGCCGCTAACCGCAGGCGACTTTGCAACGCTGTTACAAGTTCATGATTATTACCTAATACAAAAATAATATTCGCGAAAAACAACATTACCAGACAGTTGTGCAACCAATGAAATTAATCCCGTAAGATAGTACTTAAGAAACACGTTCATTCAGTTATTATTTATTATTCAGACGACATCTGACGTGAAACAACCGATCATCAAAATGAAGCTGCGCATCGTGACGAACTTGCTGTTTGTGGCGTTCACTGTTGCAAATGCTAATTATTGTGAGTAAATTTTTCTTCTATTTTATTGAAACTGTTATTGAATTAAGTAATATATTAATCACAATGTAATAGATCGATTTATAAGATTTTGAATCTAATAGTCAATCTTTTGATAGCAAACTTAACCAATTTAGGGCCACGATAAGACTTTTAATTGAAAAGTTGGATTTATGTATTATGTAAAATGTTCGGTCTAACATTGTTACGATTTGCACTTGTACATGACGCAGAGACACACCAGCAAAACAAAACCAAGCCAGTTGAAATAATCCAGACTAGAGAGAACATAAATTTTGTGCAAAGCGTAATAGATCGCTGACTTTAGAGAGTACAACCATACACAAATTGGAGTTCAAGTATTAAATGAGTTTTCTTCATTTTCGTAATTCAAGTAATTATGAAATTTATGGGTTCGGTTTTTTGATTCCCCTGTACATCCAAAGAATATCCTATACAACTTTGTCACAAGACGCATTACAATATTGCAACGCGGACAGTAGTCACCATGTTAAACTCTGACCACACAAAGTATTCTCAAAATCCAAGAATAAATATATGATACGTAGGATAATTTTGGAACAATAAAATATGCCCTCAATTAAACACCGTAACCATCACACAAACAACTAATTTGTACAATATTTGGCGATATATTATGGTAATCGATCTCATTCACTATTTAGATGTACCTAACATACCGCGACCTCGTTGTCCTCCACTGCCGCCGGATACGGTCGGTATTTGCGTAGATCTCTGTACCGATTACTCCTGTCCAGGGGATCAGTTATGTTGTTCCAACGGATGCGGTCGCGTTTGCAAAGATGCTTA